TCAAACATTACCTATTCTCTGTAAACTTAAACATACTGATATAATGAGATTACCTATACATTCTTACTACCTAGCCCCCACTGAAAACCCTTTCAGTAAAAGCCATTGGACATGGGCCTGGGGCATTCTCCACTAGAGGAAATCACCACCCCCTTTCCCTGGCGGACCAAGAAATGTCTGGAACGACTTATTTTATCTCCCCATCCGTGGCGATCCGGAGTGGCTCTGCGGGCCAGAGTCTGCCTCCACGTCACCTAACTTTTCTTGGAAAGCTCAAATTTCAGCATTAGCAACAATATTTATTTTCCTTGAAATGTCAGTATGCAGTTTGAGAAAAAGGTCTGTCAATGATTCATTCAAGTAAAACTGAGGTTTCACGGAACTAGTTCAGTTTACAAGTCAAACATTTACATCTGTTTTTCCTCAAAGGCCACCACAAATCGTTGCTTCTGTATCTCTGCTTCAAATTAGGCTGGAATGCATGCAGTTCTTTGTGTGTAGTTGGTATTTCATCACAGGATATTTAAAAGATGTATACTCAAGAGCTGAGACTTAATAACAGTAACAACTTCCACTGCCTTATCAAAGACATTCTTAAGTGAGAGGGTTTTTGTTTTTTAAATTCTGAGAGTTCCCAGCAATAAAGAATACAATGACGAATATAATGACTACCAGTTTATAGAGTATTGATACTAAACCATCAAATACTCAAGATGACCATAGCTGCTTTTCCAATGGAAGCATGCTGCTTAATACTATGAGTTCAGTCTTCTTGACTTCATAATACTTTTAAAATTGTGCCAAAATACATGAAAGTTACCATCATAAGGATTTTTAAGTGTACAGTTCAGTAGTGTTAATAATATTCATACTAGGTCCCTGGCTGGTGTGGTTCAGTGGACTGAGCACCAGCCTGAGAAACAAAGGGTCACTGGTATGATTCCCAGTCAGAGCACACGCCTGGGATGTGGGCCAGATCCCCAGTGAGGGGTGCATGAGAGACAACCACACATTGATATTTCTCTCCCTCTTTCTCCCCCCCTTCTCCTCTCTCTAAAAATAAATAAAATCTTTAAAAAAAAAGAATATTCACACTGGGAAAACCAAAACCGTACACCCATTAAACAACTCCCTACTCTCAAAAATGTAGTTTTTAAATGAATAAACTATATAGCATTAAGATTTTAGAAAACTAGCCAATACTTTTCTAGTAGTCATAAACTAAAACACAGGAACATTTAAGCTATAGTTTGCCTTCCACGCTTTCTGGCACTTTCCTGAACCAAGTACAATTTTTGTCATTTGAAAGGGAACCTGAAAATATTTACGTGTTAGAGCTTAGTCAGCATTTCTCCTTTTAAAAGCACCCAAATGACATCAGCATCATGGTGGATAGAGAAGATCCATTTGTATCTCTCCTTAAAACTACTACAGTCAAGTATCTCTAATTCAAAAAAGGTTCCTCTGCTAAACAGAGAGGGAAGCCCGAGGTCCACACATTGGGACATATTAGAAGGGCATATTAGAATAAGTAGGAGAAGGGATAGGTGGAAGGACAGGGACAGTGGCCAAATAGGCAGTTGAATACCTGTCCATCTCAATGAACAAGGAGCTAAACTCTTAACAGACGCATACGTCAGCAGGGTAGGAGGCAAAGAACCAGAATCTCTGCCTAAGAAGCCAGTTTCTATCCCACCCCCAACTGCCACGGAAGCTGGTATCAACAGCTGAAAGTATTAAATAGCATAGTGGTGCCAGGGGCCATTACTAACAATGGGGTAGTACTGCAGATTGGTGAACCCCTTCCCCACACATCTTGGCAGAAAATATCAGAGGCAGTGGAGATGTTTCCAACAGCTCAGTGGGGCCTGCCACTATTTGTAATAAGGAAGCAGCATTGGGAGATTGCAAATCTATTGTAGTTGCCCACAACCCGGTCACATGCCCCCTACAACCATGGTGCTCCTTTAAGACAGAGGTAACACTAAGGGACACTCACTCCTTGAGGAAAGCAATGCAATCCCTCAGCTATCCTACCATTAGTCCAAGTAAAACAAAAATTCACACCATAGCACCATCTACTGGAAAACAAGAGACCTCTACTCATTAACCTCCTGAATTCACAGCAAACCGGTATCTAAACAAAAAGGGTTCACTACTTCAAATATGCAGGCAGAGAAACAAGGTAAGATGATAGCACAGAAATAAAATGAAGTCTCCAGAAATCAAACTTGGAAAACTAGCTTAAATTAAGGGAACCTTCTTGCACTATACGTGGGAATGTGAAATGGTGCAGCCAATGTGGAACACAGTAGGCCTTTCCTCAAAATTTAAAGTGGAACTGCCTTATGAACCAGTGATTCCACTTCTGGGACTATGTCTGAAGAAACCCTAAACACTGATTCAGAGTATATGCATGCACCTTGATATTCAATGCAGTGCTACTTACAATAGCCAAGATTTGGAAGCAGCTCAAGTGACCACAAGTAGATGAGTGGATAAAAAAAGCTGTGGCACATTCCCTGGCTGGGTGGCTCAGTGGGTTGCAGTATCTTCCCATACACCAAAAGGCTGTGGGTTCAATACCCAGTCAGGGCACACACCCAGGTTGTGAGTTCTTTCACATCCATGTTTCTCTGAAATAAGTCAGTCTGAGAAAGACAAATACCATGATTACACTTATAAGGAATCTAATAAACAAAACAGAAACAGACTCACAGATACAGAGAACTGATAGCTGTCAGTGGGGAAGAGTATGGAGAGCTGGGTGAAAATATTAAGGGATTAAGCAAAAGAGAAAACTTAGACAACATGGTGATTACCAGAGAGAAAGGAGGGAAGGGTCAGGTATGAGCGTAAACAGGATAAATGGTGATGGAAGGAAGGACTAGTCTTAGGATTTGAACACACAATACACAGATGATGTATTCTAGAATCGTATCCTTGAAACCTGTGTAATTTTATTAATCAATGTAACCCCAATAAACACAATTTAAAAAAGAGGTAAAGGACCTCTACACTAAAAACTTCAAGACATTGTTGCTGGCTGCGTGGTTCAGTTGGTTGTCAACTGGTACACAAAAAAGGTCTCAGGTTCAATTCCCGGTCAGGGCACATGCACAGGTTGCTGGTTGGATACCTGGTCAAAGCACATACAGGAGGCAACTAATTGATGTTTCTCTCTCTCCTGTCCTCTCTAAAATCAGAAAAACATATCCTTGGGTGAGGATATAAAAAAAGACATTGTTGAAAGAAGTTCAAGACACAGTGACATGGGAATATATTGTGTTCAAGGATTGGAAGAATTAGTATTGTTAAAATATCTGTATTATCAACAGCAACCTTCAGATTCAATACAATCACTATTAATACCCCAATGGCAGTTTTCACAGAAATAGAAAAAAAAAAAAACCTTCGAATTTGTATGGAATCACAAAATTCTCTGAATAGTCAATATAATCCTGAGAAAAAAGAAAAAAGCCTAAGTTTCACACTCCCTAACTTCAAACTATACTACAAAGGTAATCAAAATGGTATGGTATTGGAAGAAAAACAGGCACACAGATTAATAGAAGAGAATTAAGAACCCTGAAATCAACATACACATACATGGACAACTAATTTTTGATTTAAGAAACCAAGACTGCAGCATGTAGAAAATAAAGGCTCTTTAATAATTTGTATTGGGAACCTGGAAAGCCACATGCAAAACAATAAAACTAGACTACTACCTCATACTATACACAAAAACTAGCTCAAAGTAGATCAAAGATTTGAATGTAAGATCTGAGACAATAAAATACATGCAATAAAATACATGCACTGGGCTTGTGGATATTGGTCTAGGTGTTTTTGTGAACTTAAATCCAAAGGCTAGGAAAACAAAAGGAAAAATAAATTGACTACATAAAAGCTTCTGCACAATAAGAAAAACCATCAACAAATAAGGCAACCTACTATATCAATGGGAGAAGATACCTGCAAATGCTGTTTCCAAAATATATAAAATATATCCAAAATATATAGATTACTCACATAACAACTAAAAAACAATCTGAATTAAAAAATGGCCAGAGTACCTGAAAAGACATTTTTTAAAAGGCAGGCATTCAGGTGGTCAACATATGAAAAGTGATGTCAACATCACTACTTATTAGGGAAATCAAAACCACAATGAGCTATCACCTCACACTTGTTAGACTAATTATCAAAAAGACAAGAGATAATAAGGGTTAGAGAAAAATATAGAGAAAAGTGAACCCACGTACACTGCTGGTGGGATTGTAAATATGCAACAGTACAGGCGTTCCTCTAGGACCTAAAAATAGAACTACCATGTCATCCAGCAATTCTTCCTCTGGGTATTTACCTGAAAAATATGAAGACACTAATTTGTAAACATTTATGTATCTCTATGTTCACTGCAGCTTTATTTACAATAGCCAAGACATAGAAACAACCAAAGTGTCCATGGACTGGTGACTGGAAAAAGATGTGAGACAATCAAATACTTCTCAGCCACAGAAAAGATTAAATATTGCCACTTGTGACAACATGGATGGATCTTGAGTATTATGTTAAGTGAAATAAATCAGACAAAAAAAAAGGACATAAAAACCCCCTATGACTTCACTCAATGTAGAATATAAAAAGGAAAGTAACAAATGAACTAAAAAAGAAATAAAAACAAATTAATACATACAGACAATAGAATGGTATTCACCTGAGGGAAAGGCAAAGTGGATAAAAGGGTCAAATACATGATACGTGAGGGAAACCACACTTTAGGCCGTGAGCATGCAATATAGATGTTGAATTATGATGTTGTACACTTGAAATTTATATAATGCTATTATCAATCAATGTTACTTCAATACATTTAATTTAAAAAATAAAAACACCTTCCTAAACTGTGTCCTGTCCTTAGAGTGGGAAATCAAACACAGGATCAATCCATTTTGATTTCAAATATTTTTTAAAAAATAAACATTTATTTCAAGTATGAAAAGTAATGTTTCAATATTACCCAAAATTCTGTTCAGTTTAACAAGTATAAAACAAGGCTTTTGACAAAGTTTACAATTAGGTATTAAAATACGTAGGAATATACTTTGACATTCACAGTGAGCACTTCTAAAAACTTAGTTTTGAAACAAAAATATAATTGCAGTCACAGCTAAAGCAAACAAGCTATTAACTGAAGACTAGTTTTCCCTCAAAATAGATGCTTAGCATTTCAAAATAAAATTTGTAAAGAATTTCTTTTAAAACAATGGTAAACTTGGCTCAATAATTTTGAAATTCAATACCTTATGGTTTCCTTAACAAATGCCATCAACTTCTTGTCTGCTACCCCACAAATAAGTTTCTTAAGCCATTTTAAGTAATTTCAATGATATACATAATCTAAATTGTAACCAAACTCTTACCAATTAATTTTATCGTAGCGATTCTGTATGTTTCCAGCAAAATATTCCCAACAGAAAATGACAACAATTTTCTCATGGCAATTACAGGACCATCAGAATTAAAGTCTCTAAATTATTTTAAAGGGCTGCTACCAAGGCTTCTGCTCCTCTTCTCCAGGTACATCTTTTTGTAGGTTTGAAACATTGCTTTTGAATCCTTTACTTGGTTTTGTAGTGTCTCAAATCCATCTGCACTGAAGGTTCTCTTGGCGTTTCTTGAATTACCCAAATCATTATCATCTAAGGAAACAGAAATTTCATTTATTTATTAGTCTCTTAATGTTTGTGACCAATATACAGACTACCAAAATTAGAAACAATGCATTCTTTGGAATAAATTAGGACAAAAGTTTGACAAACTACAGCGTTTTCCAATCAAATTATGAATTACACATGGTACATCTCGCCTGTCCTTTGGGGCTCTTTTGCTCTAATTTCTTCATCAATAAAAATTTCATTTATCACTTGGACATTATGTGGCCTCAACAGCAATCGGAACTACCAATATGAGGGGCACAAATGACAGTTCCAAATAGTCAATCGATAACTTTAAAATTATGGCCTTGTTACGTATTCCAAGACATGCCTGTAGTTTTCATTAGACTGTCTCAGTGCTGCATTAGACTACCCCTTTTTCTGACAGGCCCAGCTTTTACACACTTCAGTGGATTTCTAGACGTGCCTCTTTGACTTACTTTCCCCAATTCAGAATGCCCATGCCTTTCATTCCTGCTCTAGCCATTCCTTTCTGGATGCTAGTTGTATTATTTTTTTTATTTCTGCCTGGGTGGGTCGAATATCCTGGCCTTTTTTCAAATTCTTCTGCACCCTCATTTTTTTCATGACACCAGTATTGCTGAAGCCTGAGGTATACCTGAGTTGCTTTTCACTGGATCCCGTTACTTCCTCTTCTACCTTATCCCAGGACTGACACTTGTAAATTGATCTGTCTACACCCCAAACTTAGCTACCAAATTGAGGAGCTGACTTAAAATGTTCCTTTATAGTACTGTAATAGCTATTTGGGAGTCCTGACGTTTTTGTCTCACTTTATACAGGTTCATTCTCTTCACTTTGGTGGTTCATCTTCCCCTTTTCTGAGTCTCATCAGATCTCGACAGAGATCCTCAAGTTGTATAACTGGGCCTCCCCTCGTGAAACTCACTGTGATAAGATTGTTAGAAACTCACTGTGGTAAGATTGTTAAAAGGAAATAGATCCTTGTTTCCCTCTCCATAGCATGACAGAAAAATAGTGAAGAACCTGTCTTCCCACATCTGTACAGCTGCAAATCTCATTGTGCATGTTAATTGGTTTTTGCTCCCCCCACCCCATCATGATTCTCATAACCCATCTTCACTATTTACTGCTTATGGTGTTAGTGGCTGTTTTTAATGCCTGTCGTTTATCTCATGCTTATACCTGTGCATGCGTCCGAGTGTTTTCAAAGTAACTCAGATACTCGCCTGCTCTTTGTGGTGGGATTTCTCTCCTGTGTCTATGGCTCTTTCCTGCTTCCATCTGCATGCCCATTTCCATCTAATTTCTAATCTCTTGTGTTCCAACTTTAGTTTTCTTTTTATTCTCAGATCTCATTTTCCTGTTTAACTAAGACTGCATGTCTCCTCCTTTGATTCACCTTAAGTTTTTTCCTATACACATTTTCAATCTGTTATGACTCAATTTCTACATGTGTTTTCAGGTATCTTCTCAACTTATCTTTCCTGTTTTGAAAATGTGCTTCTCCTTGCTAGTCATGGTCAAATTGTTTTTCTCCACTTTCAAGTGACTCTAAACACTTATCTTGATGTATTCAATTAACCAAAACTTAAAACTCCCAATCCCTAGCTTCTAATTCTCAATGCAAAACACTCAAAATAAACTATATTCATTCCACTAATTAAACTGTCAAACTCTGGTTTTTATGGTTGGTCCTGACCCCAAATCCCTACTGTACCTCCTCTGCCCCAGCCAAAAAAGCCCCACTGACTAGGAGCATCAGTATTTCATCCATCAGAACTACTGAATTCCACATTTAATGAATGTCAAGAGAGGGAACCCAGTTCAAGGCCCTAACATTCAGTTACTAAGCCATGTAACTTTAGTCAAAGGATATAGCCTGGCACTGATCAAACAGGACCATGCCTGTCTACTTGATTTTGAAAATCAAGATAACTATCAAATTAATTATCTTGCCAATCACTAATCCAGCAGTTGATAAACAGGGTATGGCCTGCAGAGTAAGCCCAATCTCTAGCCAGTTTTGGTAAATAGAGTTTAATTGCAATATAGCCCATTTTCATTCATTATTCTATGGCCATTTTCTCATTACAAGGTGAAAGTTAGGCTGTTTGGGAGAGACTTCACAATCTGTGAAAACTAGTATCTACTATGGAGTCCCACACAAAAAGTATGCCTCCCCTCATCTAATTGTTTTGTTAGGAAATAGATTACTGTTTCCCTCCCCAGAGCATGACAGAGAATATAGAATGTCTTCTGCCATTCATACACATACTGATTCTTTTTTTTTTTTTTTTGCAGGATACAGAGAGCTAACTCAAAGTCCAGTACAAAATGGCAAAACTGCCTTCTACAACATGAGCAGAAAGCCTGTAGAGAAGACAGTTGTTATAAAATCATTTTAATTCCCCCCACATTATAAGCCATCTGGTGGGAAGTGGACTGTGCCATGCTCCACGTTACAATACTCAGCCTGTAGTTGCTGTTATCAAAATATACATGTGTGTCACCATAAAAAAACTGTGTTTGGTGCCTCTCATGTCTTACAAAAGGTATAAAAAATGTAAATATTTAGACCTGGTTGGAGTGGCTCAGTGGATTGAGTACTAGCCTGTGAACCAAAAGGTCATAGGTTGGATTCCCAGGGCACATGCCTGGGTTGCAGGCCAGGTCCTTGGTTGGGGGCGTGAGAGGCAGCCAACTGGTGTTTCTCTCACATGGATGTTTCCTTCCCTCTCCCTCTCCCTCCCTCTGAAAATAAATATTTTTAAACAATTATAAGTATTTATACCCATGTCCCTATGCAGATGTGAAAGCGCAGGGGTCCAGACCCTAAGGAGAGGGGCCAGGCTGGCCAGCACAAGATCTGTGCACAAGGAAGGTGTTTGGACCCCTGAGTGTAGGACTACACAAGGTTAAGGAGACAGTAAAGCCTTGAGGGCTGTTATCCTATCTTTAGAGATCCCAGCACTAAGCGGGGGGTAGAGGAGAGAGAAAGGAAGGAAAGAAAAGGAAGGAAGGAGGGATGGAAGGAAGAAAGGGAGGGAGGGAACAAATTTTGGTCCAAAATTTGTAGGATAAAAGAAACCCTGAAAGTTTAAGAGCCTTTATCCTTCCAGACAGCTCAGGTAGGGATAGGGCCATCTGGGGGGTCTCTGGCCTCGGGCTTTCTGGGAAGGACCCAGCTTCCTCGGTGGCCCTCACTGAAACTGCCCTGCAAACTAGATCCTGACCTGAAACTTAATTACAAGGAATAAAATTTTAAAAAATATTGTATACCAGGTCATATAGGGAGGAAATTTAGATTACACTCCTGACATTTTTATATCATCTTGCTGTATAAAAGGTTACTTTTAAAATTTTCTTTTGCATATGAGTGAAAATTAGAATAGTTGGTTAAGTGGAAATGTTGTTAGGCTCAGATGTCCGCTACTCCATCAAAGCACAATACAAAGATTTATAATGAAACAGACTCCAAGCTGAACAACTGCCAGGCACACACCCTCGGGGATCTGGGCCCAGGAGGAGCACCTTGAGCTAGGGGTGGTGGGAATCATACTTGATTAAATGGAGGATTGGGATGTCAGCATGCCCTGCAGCTGGCAGCCTCCTGATATGACAGACACATGATCCCCACAGGACGCTGTGCCCTTGGTCCCCAAACCCCTATGCATTTGCTACCATAGAAGGCCCTGCCAGAACAGTCAGTTTTAAGGCACAACAAAGCCAAGTGGAGGTTTGGGAACACGCATCCCACAGCATGTAGAAGGCACACTGTCCACAAGTTACCAAGAGCCTGAGGCTGGCACTTCACTTCCCAAAGGTGAGCAAAGTGAATTAGATTTAATTTTTTTTATAAAAAAGGTAAACTGATTTCTCTTTTAAAAAAAATAAAAATAAAATATCTGATCTTTTTAAAGTTACTTCAGCTGCTTTAAAAGTGGATATTTCTGAAATGATGTAAGTTATTGTCAGGACTGCCCGGCAGGCTGGCTGGTGGTGGAGCCTAGATGGTAGACTTGGAGAAGGACACCCACAGGTGGCGGTTCTTGTTCAGGTTGCGGTTGTGCAGGAAGATGAGCCCCTGGATGGCCTCTTCCACTGGATCAGCAACATCTTGCAGTTCTTTAGGAATTTGAATCCTTTGTCAATTTTAGCACTGCTGGAGAAGAGGATTTTGAAGTTGCCCTTGGACAAGGAGGACGGTATGTTGGGAGAGGCTGAGGGTGTGAAGATGTTCTGATGTTCTTGGAGCCTGGCTTCTTGAACCGGTGAAGGGGTGAGCTGTCAGTCCTTGCTGAGGTCTTGGCCCCCCTGGCCCTTGCAGGGCAGCTGAATGTTCTGGGGCTTGGACAGTGTGATGTGCAGCAGCTTCCTGTAGAGCTTGTGCCTGTCGAGGTGGCTCATGGCTAGCTGGGCCTGGCTCCCACCTGCCATCTGTGCCAGGTTGTTCTACTTATTGAACAAAATCTTCACCTGCTGCACATCGCCATGCATGCCAAAATGAATAAAGAGGCTTTGGGGTGTGACTTTTTTGGGATTGAGGTTGCTGGCCAACAAGACAGAATTTCCAGCTCCTGCCAGGCCTAGAATGGTGATCCAGTCTGCTGTTGCAGGTCCGGTTCCACCTCCAACTGGGTGTGATGGCCATAGGGGCCAGGGACCCTTGCACATTGGGAACAGAGAGGCCTGCAGCTTGAGGAATGGCAAAGGAGGGAGGGATACCAGCTCCTACATACAGAGGGTTGGACATTATGCCAGGTACACCAAAGGGCATGGTCATGGTCTGGTCCAGCAAGGGCTGGCTGGAGGGCAGGTCAGGACAAGTGTAGTCTCGTGCCTTGTTGTTATTGTACTTGATGTTGAGGCTGGTATGCTTGGAAAAGTGGATGCGGAGTGTACAAACATAGATGTTCTGCCCATTCAGCAACAGCCTGGCCTGCTTGGCACTCACGGTTTCAGCATATTGCAGCAATGCCTGGAATTGGTTGCTCTTGGTAAAAGTGATGATTTTCAGAACTGTGCCATACTTGGAAAAGATCTGGTGAAGTATGTCCAGGGTGACCGGGTAGAAGAGGTTCTCTAGGATGATCCTGAGCACTGGGCTCTGGCCAGCTATCGCCATCTTGACATCCACAGCAGCAGCCAAGGCAACCAGAGCCTGATTCCCTGACTCAACTGAGTTCAGGGCCTGCACAGGTACCTGGACCTGCGCCTGGTGAGGTGAGTTGTAGGTCTTGAGCTCGTGGTTAGAGAACTCGATGTTGATGGGCTGGCCACAAAGTGTGGGTGTCACCGAAGTGTAGTAGTTCATCATGGTTTTGGCTGCCTCCTTTGCGTTCATCTCAATGAAGGCCTGCTCTCTCCCTTTCAGCATCAGGATGTTGGTGACCTTCCCAAAGGGCAGTGCCAGGGAAATGACCTCACCCTCAGTGACATCATTGGGGAGCTTCCAGATACGGACCACTCTGGAGGGCACACCTGCAATTCCGTTGTCGCCTTTGAACTTCTTGCTGTCATTTCCATTTGCTGAGGAGGCCGAGTTGGATCTGTTAGTAACAGTCAGAGAAAAGCCTGCCCGATACCCACTTTGTACCACCTGCAGTGTACAATAGTTTTATAAATATAATCAAGCTTATATATTAAACAGAGTAACAGAGAAGTAAAGAAAAATTACATATATGATAATTTTACCTATTTCTTGATTTGCTTCTGGAATCCTTTTCTCCTCAGGTGCACCTTTTATCCAGTCTTCTTTTGTGCTTTTTATTCCTGTAACTATTTAAATATTCATTTTCAGATCTCTAGATATTCTATTCACCACTTTTCGTACTACAACTAAGGAAAACCAGGTAGCCTTAAAATAGATTTTAGAAAATATTAATATAGTCACATAACACCAAAAGGGCTCAGGAAAATGTTATTTCCCTTTTAAAATGCCTTATTTACCTTACATTTGAAAAAATGAGTTGCTTTAAAAGTTTACCTTCACTATGTATTTACTTTTCTCCCACTTGGGCTGCACACCAACACCTTCCAAAGTATTGAAGGGCACATGACAGAAAATGTTGTTCACACTTCCCCAATACACTTTCAGTGTTCCCATTACATCAATGCCTCAAATTCTAAGGATCTAGTTAAGAGCACCAAGTGAAAGCATCAATACTTTACAAAGTATATTTTATACTCTTTTTAATCACATATCCCTTTCACCTTCCAAGAAAATGTACTTTATTTACACTGCAATTTTATGTACCATAACAGTTACTGTCTAAAAAGCACAGGAAAAATACAGATTTTCACTCAAATCCTTTAGCTTTTCAATCTGGGTCTCTGAGCACAATGTTTTATATATAATAACCACAACCCCTAAATGTTTCCTTACTACAAAAATAATTAACTATTTTCCTCCTTTCCTCCTATCCTAGCATTGAGAATTCTATCAACGAGCTAACCAGTAGTCATGTTTGCCACTTTGGTTTTGGTGAGTTAACACTGGATAATACAGCTTCCGTGGTCCTGCCTTTCATGAGTAGACTGGACATCACCACTTAAACTTTAGGGTAACAGTCAACAAGTGCCTCAAAGATGGTAAAAGTTTGAATATTTATACAAAGGATAAAAAGATCACTAATAATCATCTGAATTAATACACTAATAACATGCTAATAATACATCTGAAATTCACAGGGCAAGGAAATTTCAACTCCGCAGGGGACTCAACAAAAGTAAGATCCTTGAAATAACATACACATTTCTAACTTAAAACAATGTTTTTCCAGAGTATAGGATTCTTGGTACAAAAGGAAATTTTTGTATTTGGCAGACCTTACAATTTTATATGCCTCAACATTCATAGAAATTTAGTACAACTTACAATAAGGGGAAGATAAACCTTAAACAGCTATTACCAAATGAATTATTGATTTACTGAGAAAAACAAATACCAAATATGCATTCATTCTTTCCTCACTACACAGATGGCATTAATGGTGCTAGCCCATTTTTTAACCTAGTGCTTTACAATTCTGTAAAGACCATCAAAAAATCATACTGGACCTTGCACAGGGGCTTGATCCTTCCTAGGACAAGGCTGCTGATCCTTCTGTTCTTCAACGGAGTTTGTACTCTTATTAATCAGTCCATCTGGACATAATTTAAACTCCAGCATGCTTTGTTTTTCAGTGGTATCTTTCTCAGGTAATGGGCTCTTAGGTTTATCTTCCAATCTCTTTTCTTTATTCAACTTCTTGGGTAAACTGTCTAATTTTGTGAGACAAATGCTCTCACGTTCAGTGCATTTAAAGGCAACTCTGTTCAGATATTGTTTCCTTTGCTCCTTTGCTTGAGCTGACATCTGGCTGAGTTCAACTCCATTGTTAACATTGCTTAGATTTGTGTCTAAACTGGTTTTATCAATCCACATTTTATCAGGTTGCTTTCCACCGACTGTTTCTTTAACATTTTCTGAAAGGCAGGTTTTAGACCCCTCAGGATGGTAGGTTTTGATGTTTTTGTCATGGCTTGTACATAATGATTCTTTTGAAGTTTGTACACTGCTGTTTCTCTCATTTGATTTCCCACAACTTCCTACTTGCACAGAAACTTTACTGGCCTTCATGTATTGAAAATCGCCTAGTATATTTCTCCCACAGTTTTTCTTTGATGCTTTGATACCCATTGTTTCTTTATGTTTCTGTCTTTGTAAATACTCCTGTGATAGAACTCTATTATTTTTAGATGTACTATCCTTAGAGCCTGAGGACTTAACATTTGATATACTCTTTTCTTTGACTTTGGCTCTTTCATCTCGGTTTGACAGAAAATTACATATTTTAAATATACTACCTCCATTTTTATTCTGCTCTTGTTTATTATACTTTATCCTTTTAGTATCTGAATCAAGTATGCTCCCTTCCCCTAACTTCCTTTTTTCTGAAACTTTGAGTTCAGAGTCACCTGCTTTCAATTTTCTCTTTTCTGGCAATATTGGTTGTACCAAAGAACCATTCTTCCTATGTAGATCTTTATTTTTATTTGCCAAGAAACTTGTCTTTGCTTTTAGTGGATGTGAGTTTTGTGTTATGAGCTTCCTCTGCAAACTCTCTTGAGAAAATTTTATTTTATTACTAGAGTGGAAAGTTACCTCATGAAATTTCAGTTTTTCTTTCTTTTTATAACACTGTAAGGAATCCAGTTTTTTTGGTAATTCTTGTTGTGTCCTTAGTGAGCTGTTTTTTGTTTTGGAGGTCCCTTTCATATCCTTGCCCTGTTCTATTTCAGGAAAATCGTTTTTCCCATCTGGAAAAGTCAGAGCAATCTTCGGGTGGTTAATTGGAGGATTATTATATCCTATAGGAACATCTCTATCAGAGGTACTCTCTTCTTGCTTACAACTGCTGGTCCCCAAAGAACACTGATCTTTCCCTTTGTCTACCTTTGAAGTTGAGTCCTTGATGGAATCACACTGGCACTGGGGTACTCCTTCATATTCCATAGCAAGCCATCCCAATGCACAGCAACGGACATCATCTTTCTCTGAATCCATTACAGAATTACAACCTTCTCCACCTGTAGGTTCTTGTTGGGCACACTGGCTGCCTTCTTTTGTGATAGGATTTTGTTTCTGAGATTCTGTCAATGTGTCTTCCTCACAGGGTTGATCATTCTGTTCAGGAAATAATTCTTTCATTTGCTCTGAGTTTAATATTGTAATTTTAATTTGGTCTCTTGAGTCTTTGGAATCACAGCTGGTTTTATCACAAGGCTTATCTTTTGAGATTTGGTCTGTTATTTGTTGTGCCACATAACTTTCACGTGTGAGCACTGCTTCAATACCATAGGGAAATTCTTTTAAAAGTTCTGACAGCTGATCATGTGGATATAGGGTGGATGTTTTATCATTGAGAATCTCATTTCTTGCAGGATCCTTGGCAGTGTAATTGCAGGACACATCAATTTCCTGAGCATTGTTACTCTCCTGCTGAACAGCAGCTAATGAACATGAGTCTATAGCTGTGAATTCTTTTTTAGTGATATGCTCCAAATCGACTTTCTCTATTTCACTCTTTGCGTTAACATTCTTCAAAAATGATTCTGGAGGTTGCAGTGACTTTGACTGATCAGGTATTTTAGGTATTTTATGTGAAACATCCATGCACTGTACAAAGTTTTCTTTTTGAAAATGAAAGTCTTTCTTTTCTGTGATGTCTAATGGTTCTTTTTGTTGTCTACTACTAATCACTTGGAGATTGAGCAGAGGAGATTTCTGTGGCTCAACCTTTTTCACAGGTGAATTGAATATCTCTGCTATTTGGGAATTGTAAGATGTATCACCTTCAACAAGAGAACATATATTGTCAATCTGTAACAAATCACTACTTACAATATCACTGTCCCTTGATTTAGACAAGGCTTGCTGATCACTTACAGTAAAGTGAATACCTGGTTCTGACATATGTTTTCCTTGACTGATATTAGGTGTACCTTCTGAGTTACCATTAGTTGATGCACTTTGTTTTTCCTTCTGAATTAGTGGGAAATTCTTGGTGTTTGTTGATGTACTTGGAACCGGTTCATTAACTTTCAAAGCAGCACTAACTCTTGTATTTTCTGCCAACTGATTCTGTAAGCTACAAACACTGCCTTCTTTAATAACTGGATATATTGTTTCAGGTAAAGCTTCTGATGTTACTCCTTTGACAGGAAATGTTTTGACATCTGAAAGAATTAGAGGGGACACTACAGCAATCTGCAGTTCTGTTCCCTTGGAAATAGTTGCACCTGAAGAATCATAATTCTGTACTATCATTGGCAGAGTTGTTACTTGTGAGTTTACTATCTTACTCTGAGAATTTCCCACAACTGAAAATGGACTCTTATCACAGATTTCCACAGGCTTTGAAATTCCAACTGCTGTTCTGTTTATTGCTGACTCATTACACTGTTTTTTTTCTGTAGGTTCTGAAGGTTGCTTTTTCCACAGAGAAAGACACGTTGCTAGTAATTCCATAGAACAGTGGCTGTCACTTTTAGAAGTTAATCCATTTGTTGACGATTTATTCTCAAAGCAAAAAGAACTGTCTGAAATCTTGGCATCTTTATTGCAAGTACTTGGAGTTTCCATGTTTTTCAAGTTCAGATAGTTACCAGTGATTTGGGTATTGGGATTCATTTCAAAACTATATGGTTTTGAATCCTGAATAGTTTCACAACCATCTTTTAATAATTTTTTCCCAATTTTATCTCCATGTGCAAGGAGACTGAGAAGTAGTCTATTTTTATTTAGATACTTTGAAGCATATTCCTCAAAGGCCACAGACTGAGGAACAGAAATTGTTTCAGAATTTGTTTTGACATTTTCTTCAACATTAACTAAATTTCCTGATGAAAACAGGGTGTTATTTAATGTTGCATGGGTAGTCTCAACAGTTGATGTCTTTAAACAAGTTGTAACTTTCAAATCATGTGACTGATCTGGCACTGGCACCTTTTCTGAACACACAGAATTTATTAAAACGGAATTGGCCTGGTTAATATTTCTGCAATTCATGTCCAACGTACTGTGTGTTCTACTTGTTTCTTCTGTAGTTTCCATTATTGTTGGTTGTTTATCCTCTGCAGTTTCTGGAGTGACTAGAGTTATCTGTTGTCCAGACTGGATTTTGGCAGTTTGTTTCAGAGACAGTTCAGAGTTTTGAGCTGATTCTCTGTAAGAGTTATTAGCTGCTTTAATACAACCTGCTGCCATCAAAACATTTTTATCAATTTTAACTTTCCTTGCCAGTTCAGAAAATTTCTTTTTCATTTCTACTAGTGTTTTAATATCCCTCACTAACTTTTCTTTTGTGGCACTTGTGTCCAGTGCTTGATTTGAAGTTAGATTGCAAGAATCTACTCTTTCTTCTTGATTATTTTGAGCAAGAATCTGAACACTATCCACGGGAAATCTAATGGGGTCATTAAAAGGCTGACTGACATTAGTATTTACTTTCAAGTTACAGAAATTTCCAATCGTGCTGACACTTTCATTAATGTTTTGCTGTTGAAAGTCTCTGCAAAAGGCATTCCTTATTTCAGGTAACTGTGCTTCTTGACTCTGAGGAATAACATTCCGAGTATTTTGGAAAGGCTGGCTTGCATATCTACAGTCATAAGGAGGAGGAGGAGGTCTTTTGTCAATCTGAGTAACTGCATATTGATAGGACTGTACAGTTGCAGGCTGCTTTGAGTGTAAATTCAGTGCAGAATTTAGAGAAAGACTATTTTTAGCTTGTATTGATGTAGGTGGCATAGGATTTTGTTTCTGGAGAGTAGGATTTTGCAAAAAGCTTCGTGGTGCGTAAGTGTATTGCCTTGGAAGTGGTCTGTAATCTGGATAAGTTAGTCCACTGGCTGTATACGGTTGTGCCCAGTCACCCTGTCGCTCTGATAAAGATGAGTTAATTCTCTGGTTTCCTTGATAAGTTACAGGAACTCTTATAGAATTAGAAGGGATCATCTGTACTTGCATAGAATAGGTAGTATCTGATGTTACAAATTGATTCTGTACTACATTTACATTGGGTATATTGGTTCTAAACCCAGTTTGTTGAGATACAGTCGTTCCTGTATGAGAAAACATAGAATTCCTCACTGGTGAGTCCAACCATGTATTTTGTGTAACTCCTGAAGACATTTGCACACTGTGATTAAGTTGTGTAGGTCCTTTCATATTTGCATATGTTATTCTTTCTACTGAATTTTGTGAGGCCACAATTGTCCCACTATGCATATCAGACACTGAGATTTGTTGAGGAGTTTTATAATTTCTGATGTTGTGCAGTGGCTGTGAAACTGGATTTGAATTACTGAGAAACATGCATGCTGGTTGGTTATTTCCAGGAGAGTTTAAAGACCCTTGAGATGGTGTGTTTATTAAAGTCGTCTCCAAAAAAGATGACTGGGTTTTAGGATACAACGGTGGTACGGTGACACTCTCTGGTTTTGCATTCCAGTTCATTGTTGATTTGATGTAGTAGAGGTGTATTAAAAGTCAGTTTTTTTGAATGAGAGGAAATCTGTAGGAAATAAAGACCTTTTATTATAAAACTGTTTTGCCCGGACAAAATTTCTTTAAAAATTAGTTTACCTTAATATCAATGTTGACTACATCTATCAAAATTCCTAATACTTCAGACTAGGCAAATCCTCATCTTTAATTTGGGAAAGTGGAATAGTAAAGAAGGATGCAACAATACATTAAGGCAAAGGTCAGTAATATTTCTAGGATGTTTAACAGGAACTCATTCCACAAAATACAGTTAAGATTTTCTTTGTTACACTTAAGTGGTGATTACTTTCTGCATTTATTTTAAGTAGCTCTTTATTCTATGTAACCCATGTTTACTATTAAAAAGATTTAAAATGCTACTGTCTATCCCTTGTGGCTATACTCCCTAAGGGGATGTCAACTATTAACACCTTTCAGAAAATTTCTATACATAAAAAACACTAATAGAAAAATAAAACATCATCTGTTAAACAAATGGAATCCTACCAAACACAGTCTATACTTTGCCTGATTTTCATCACTATACCTAAGATATCTTATTATTTCACTAGATATATTATCTACCTCACTGTGTGCAAAACATTCTACTTTATGGGTATATTACCGTTCAACTAATCCAGTATCAACCGATTACAGACATGCCTGGTATATTGATTGTGTTTTGCTTTAGTGCTTTACAAGTTGAAGGCAAGAGTCTCCACCAGCAAAAAAAAAGATTGTAATTCCCTTAATTGTTACACTCACTTTATTATAGCGGTCTAGAATTGAACCCACAGTATCTTTGAGGTATGACTATATTTGGTTTTCTTAGGTTTTTTTCCACTTACGAACTTACTACACTAAGCCTTCTTGTATTTATGCTTTCATATGTCTGCTAAATGTTTCTGAATTTCCTAGAACTAAAATCTAGGTGTTAAAGGGCATTGAAATTATTTTCATAAACACTAAAAGAACTGCCTTACAAAAAGGTTGAAATAAATTACATCCTCATCAAGTATAACAATGGACAAATCCATAACTATAGTAAATGATAGAGGAAAGACAGGTTAAAATAAAAGTAAACAAGCATGGCTTAGGCCCTGGCCAGGTAGCTTAGTAGATTAGGGCATCGTCCACATACACCAAGATTAGGGGGTTGATCCCAGGTCAGGGCACATACTAGAATCAACCACTGAATGCATGGATAGGTGAAGGAGCAAATTCATATTTCTTTTGCCCTGAAGTTAATACATGGCCATGTGGCTCAGTTGGCTGGAGCATCGTTCCGTACACCAAAACGTCACAGGTTCAATCCCAAGTAGGAGTTTGTTATAGGAGGCAAACGAGCAATGTTTCTGTCTCACATTAATGTTTCTCTCTCTCTCTCTCTCTCAAGGCAATAACAAAAACATATCCTCAGGCGAAGATTAAAATTTATTTTTAAAAATGTTTATACAAACGTGACATTAATAGTACACTAAAAACTTCAAAATATGCATACTTTCCATATGCACATAAATTTTTGTAAATACTGACCATATGGCCACAAGCAAATCTCAAATTTCAAAGAGTTAAAATTATTCAAATTAATTCAGAGAAATTAATCTAGAAATTATAGAAGAGGTAACTAGAAAATTGCAAAATAATTGAGAAATAAGGAATACACATTCCACTTCAGCACAGAGAGATCTCTGGTGTCTCTTCCTCTACTTACAATGTCACCAGTCCTACTGGATTAAGGACTCACGAATCCCTATGTTCACATAAGACCTGAAGACAATTTATAGGATTAAACAAACATATTGGGGGAAAAAAAACTAGGAAATAATCTCCACATTACAAGAAGTGAGAATTTTACATGAGAAGTAAACCAAAGAAGTAAGACAGTGAAATAAAATAATGGCAAAAATACAGAGCTTCAACAAGCCACAAGTTGATTCTTTAGAAAAACATAAAAATCATCAAGCCTCTGCTCTAACACGGATCATAAAAAAAAGACAACATTGTATTAAGAAAGGAGGCTATCACTAGATCCTCAGATGTTAAAATGATAAGTATTTATTTTAAGTAACTTTGCTCCAGTACATTTAAAATTTAGATGGAAAGAAGAAATTCCTTGGAAAACATACCTAAACAGGACTGATAAAATACCATATCTCTTTAAAGAAATTTATATTTTTTCACAAAGAAAACTCTAGGCCTTTATGCCTTCAATGAAGAATTAATCTAATATAAGCTCTTTTAAAGGACAAAAGAGGGGACATTTCACATCTCATTTACTCAGTCTGTAAAGAAGCTGAAGAGAAGGAAAATTAAGAAGCTAATAGGTGCAAAAATCCTAAATGTTAGCAAACCAAATGGGGTGATATATGAAAGGCTAACATCATGATGAATTAGGCTTGTTTTAGAAATCAAGGTTTGCCATTTGAAAATTAACCAAATTATATTACAATAACTTTTTAAAAATCATTTCAATAGATGGAAGAATTTGATAAAATTCAATACCAAAAATACAAAGAAAAATTTGATTATGATAAATGGTAGCTTCCAAATTTTAGATGCCACTATCACCCTGTCATTGTATCAGATAGCCTAGAAAAGAAGATCTAGGTAGGAGAACGTAAAGGTGACTACTCATAGAGGTAATGGAGAAAATCCAGTTCTCTAGACCTCTTTAGACCACTGTCTCTCAACCATTTTCATCGCATGGCACACGTAAACTACTAAAATTCTGCAGCACACCAAAAACATTTCTTGAAGATCTTACAAATAATAAGTATGATTTTGATTTATTTACACAGGACAACTATTGCTTATTTGACAATCTAAGGAGAAAGACGTCAGTGCCCCTGACTAAATAATGAAATCAGGTATCATATATTTTAAAAATTCTTGTGGGCACACAAGTGCACCTATTGTGGCATGCCAATTGAAAATCACTGTTTTAGACTATCAAGTTATAATTAATTAAAATCCCTGCAAACAAGGTCAATATATAAAAAAAAATAAAACCAGCAGTAATTAGGAAAAATACCATTTTCAATACTGTAAAACATCAAAAGCTTAGAAAATGTAAATGTACAAGACCTCTAGAATGAAGAAACTTAAGTGTCAAGTTATGAAATATTTAAATATCTGAAAACAAAAAAAATATTTTTAAATAGATATTTGAAGACAAATAAGAATATCAATTATATCAAAATTTATCTATAGATTCAATGCAATCCAAATAAAAATCTCAGATTTATTTTGGCAGAAATTTACAAGCTGATTCTAAAATGTACATGGACATGCAAAATAGGCAAGAATAACAAAAGACCAACTTTCATACGTATAGACATGTGAATTAGGACAAAGTTGGATGGCCAAATGGGTTGTAGATTATTTACTAACTCAAGAAAAACAAGACTGAAGGCATCCACTTTTTAAAATTAAAAACACATCCTAAAGAGAAAATTGTATGGACTCATCTCACATGCCTTCTTCTAGGAAAGCTCCTTAATAAAGTAACTGACCAGGTAAAAGTATAACTCAAAATAAAAAGCAGCACTTAAGAGTTATTGATGCCTTATAAATTCCTCCTTATGCGAATTTGGGGGTGGGAATCTGTTATCAACTGAACTGTGTCCCCCCAAAATTCATGAATGAAGCTCTAACAATGACTGTGACTGCATTCGGAGATAGGTTTAGTATGGTAATTAAGGGTAAATGAGATTCTAAGAGTGACTCCCTAATCCAACACAACTGGGATCCTTGCAAGAGAAACACCAGGTGTGTGCACACAAGGAAAGACGATATGAGGTCATATGAAGGTGGCCATCTGCAAGCCAAGGAGAGAGGACTCAGAAGAAACCAAATACCTGAACTTAGATTTCAAGACTCTAACCCCAGCTGGTGTGACTCGGTGGCTTCAGCTCCAGCCTGCAAATCAAAGGGTCACTGGTTCAATTCCCAGTCAGGGCACATGCCTGGGTTGCAGGCCAAGTCCCCAGTAGGGGGCACTCAAGAGGCAACTACACACTGATGTTTCTCACCCTCTCTCCCTTCCTTCCCCTCTCTAAAAATAAATAATTAAAATCTTAAAAAAAAACAACAACCCAAAACCCAACAAACTCTAGAACTGTAAGAAATAAATGTGTTGGTTAAGCCACTTGTGAGGGCAGCCCTAAGAGACTAATATGGAGCATATGGGTAGGAGGAGAAATGAGCTTTATGAGTAATTTGGCTTTCCCACATTCCCTGTCCTTTGTGGACACAGAAGACATTGAGGCCTGGAAAAGCACCCCTGAACAACCTAAATTCAAGGGAGGGAGTTAAGTTTTCTGATTTTTTTTCTGATTGAAAAGTCTCTACTTTTGGATATAATGTATTCTTAGAACTTTTGAGATTAATGGTGATAATCAGAGACAGATTTCCAGTCTATCATTTTACTTCCTCTGGGAAAAATGAACTATTTTGCCCCAAAATTTCTACCCTGCCTGCCCCCTCAGCACCTCTCACCTGTGACAACAGTGGCACTCACCTGACAAAACCCCAGCTGTGGCTGAACTTACGAAATCTCCTCCACACAGGAGTAGCCCTAGTTTCCTGGGGGGGAAAAAAAAAGTTTAAGCCAGCAGACTGATTTCCCCCACCACCAAAACTATAAAACACACATCCTTATAATATGCATTTACAGTGACCAAGCTGACCTTCCTCCTATCAAATCTCTACATTTAAAATCCTATTTTCTTTTCCTTTATTCCCAGTGTAAACCCATCTCTATTGAATTAAGTCACTCAGACATGCAGGGGGTGTGTGCACAGACACAGACTCTATGGTTTTCAGTATTCAAAAAACACAAAAAATAACCTCACTAGGCCCCACATTCCTTTACTCTCCACCCCACACCACTCTTAGTCTTTTAGCGTGGTTAAAAATCAAATATAATAAACCAGATATTAAATGCTTAACCCATTTACAGATAAAAATAAAAATGACCTTTGAAGTAATTTGCACTTCCATAAAATAATGAAAAAATCATTAAAGAAATTAAAATGCTAACTACACTAGAAAATACTCACTTAAGCCCTGGCTGGTGTGGCTCAGCTGGCTTCAGCATCATCCCATGGACTGGAAGGTCCTGGGTTCAATTCCCAGGCAGGACACATGTCTAGGTTGTGAGTTTACTCTCCAGTAAGTGCACGTGTGAATGGCAAATGATTGATGCTTCTGTCTCACATCAATGGTTCTCTACTTTTCTTTCTCCCTTCCTTCCCCTCTCTCTAAAAATCAATACACATGTCCCTGGGTGAGGATAATAAAATTACATTCAATGCAAAACAGCCCTGACTGTTGTGGCCCAATGGGTTTGGATGTCATTCCACAAAAGTCGCCATACGATTCTGGGTCAGGTCACATGCTTGGATTGTGGGTCAGGCCCATGCCCTGTCCCTGGTGGGAGCATGCAAGAGGCAGCCTATCCATGTTTCTCTCACTGTCTTTCTTCCTCCCTTCCCCTTTCTAAGAATAAATAAATACAAATCTTTTTTTAAACTGCAAAAGAAAACAGTAAGAAAGGGGCTTCCAGTCAAGATGTCAGTGAAGGTAAAAGTGGTGCTCACCTCCTCCTACAACCACATCTAAATTACCTAAATCACAGAAAAAAACTATCATTCAGAACAGGCCGAAATATGACCGAATGAAGTCCAACAACTAGGGAATTAAAGACTGAGCCACATCAAGACTGACAGGAGGGCGAGACATGCAAAAGGTATGGTCCTACATCCGTATGTGGCAAATAAAAACTAGGAGGGGTATCAGATATCTCAGCTATGCAGATCCCCCCCACCCCCCACTTAAGGAGCAAGGGTCCCAGCCCCACACCTGGCCTCCCAAACTAGGATTTCAAGTGCCAAAAGTCCGCATAGCTTCTGGCTATAAAAACCAGCTACAATCGAGGCTGACGAAAAGGGAGGATTCTGGAGTCCCAGGCAGTTCATCTAAAAGGGCCCACACCTGGATTTACTAAAAATCCCACCCTCAGAGCTCCAGCACAGGAACAGCAGCTCAGAAGGCACCAGAGGCATACAGAAAGGAACGGAAATGTCTGGCATCACAAGAGGTGGGGGCCAGCTTTCTCCCAGACAAAAATGCTGACAGTGGTGACTGTTCCTTTTGTGAGCCCTGCCCACACAGAGCCAGCAGCACCTATCTGAGTCTCCAGCAATCTGGCTCACACTGTATGTCCGGCCCTATGATTCCCTGAGGCCCCATCCCACCCAAGCTGTTTCCAGTTGCCTTTCCAGAGGAATGGCCTGTCTTGGCTCACACCTCAGACTTTCCTAAAATCTCTCAATGGAGCAGTATCCAGCTTCAGAGTGCCCCATGCCTCTCGCTATGTGGTCCTAGGCATGGTACTAGCAGCAGCTGGCCTTGGTTCACAGCTTGGCCTCTCCTGGGCACCTCCAACCCAGCATAAGTATCCCTCATCTGCAGACTGCTTTGTAGTTCATGCCAGGGGCCCACAGAAAGAACACAGTTGGCAACTGACCTTCGACTGCACCTCCTGGGAGATCCCTGAGCCAGTACACACAGTGGACAGCTTCAACCACATCAAAGCACCACCACCAAACCACCTCCATGAGCAACAAACACATTCAAGTGGCAAACTCAGGGGGCACCAGAACCCCACTAATGTAAGTCCTGCTCTGTTGGGAGCACAGTGGATGCTCCACGGTGGTAAGGGGATGCAGCCAGTTCTTGCTGCTCATCAGCTGGGAATAAATTCCTCGCTCTCAATAATGTGCCAACAGCAATCAAGGCTCAACTACAACAGGGGGATGTACACAGCCCACACAGTGGATGCACCTTGAACATACCCTACTTGGGTAATGGGGGAGGCTGTGTCACTGGACCCTATAGAACACCTACTACATAAAGTCACTCTACCAAGCATGGGAGATGTAGCAGCCATATCTAACATACAGAAAAATCTGCAGGAAGACTGCCAAAACTAGGAGACGAGCATATTCCAAGTGAAATAAAACTCCAGAGAAAGAACTACACAGACTGGAGACAAGCAATCTACCAGAGTTCAAAATACTGGTTATAAAGATAGCCAATGAATGAGAACCTCAGCAAAAAAAAAAAAAAAATCCAATCGTAAATGAAGGATACACAAATTAAAATAAAGAACAATTTACAGGGAATCACAGTACAGTGGATACAGCTTAGAATCAAATCAGCAATTTGAAATAAGAAAGGAGAAAAACAACCAATCAACAGCAGGAAGAAAAAAGAACCCCCCCCCCAAAAATGAGGACAGCATAAGGAGCCTCTGGGACAACCTCAAGCCTACTGATATTTGCATCATGGGGGTGATGCCAGAAGGAGGAAAAAAGGACAAGAAATTGGAAACCTATTTGAAAAAATGACAGAAAAGTTCCCTAACTTGGTGAAGGAGACAGACATATAAATACAGGAAGTGCAGAATCCCAAACAAGATGAACACAAAGAGCCCCACACCAATATGCATCATAATTAAAATGCCAAAGATACCCTGACTGGTGTGGTTCAGTGGATTGAGCGTCATCTTACAACTGAAAGGTCACCAGTTCAATTCTCAGTCAGGGCATATGCCTGGGTTGTGCTCCAGGTCCCTAGTTGGGTGTGTATAAGAGGCAACTGACCGATGCCTCTCTTGTACCTTGATGTTTTTCTCCCTTTCTCACTCCCTTCCCCTATCTCTAAAAATAAATAAAATCTGCCCTGGTTGGTGTGGCTCAGTGGATTGATCACTGGCCTGCAAACCAAAGGGTCGCCAGTTCGATTCCCAGCGTAGGGCACATGCCTGGGTTGCAGACCAGGTCCCTAGCAGGAGGTGGATGAAATGCAACCACACATTTGATGTTTCTCTCCCTCCCTAAAAATAAAAAAAATTAAAATAAAATAAACTGAGTTTAGAAAATAAATAAAATCTTATTTTAAAAAATGATTAAGTTAAATACAAAGAGAGAATCTTAAAAGCAACAAGAGAAAAGCAATTAGTTACCTACAAGGGGGCTCCCATAAGACTGTCAGCTGATTTTTGCAGGCCAGAGGGGATTGCAAGAATTACTCAAAGTGATGAAAAGCAAGGCCCTACAACCAAAATTACTCCAGCCAGCAAAGCTATCATTTAGAATTGAAGGGCATATAAACAGTTTTCCAGACAAGAAAAAGCTGAAGGAGCTCATTACCACCAAACCATATTATATGACATGTTAAAGGGTCTTGTTTAATAAGAAGGAAAAAAAAGATAAAAAACATGAAAAAAAAAGAAGGCCTTGGCTGGATAGTTCAGTTTGTTAGAGCATCATTCCAATATGCCAAGGTTGCAGGTTTGATTCCTGGTCAGAGCACATACAGAGCACAGATTGATGTTTCTCTCAAATCAGTGAAAAAATTTTTTAAGTATGTACAATAAAATGGCAATAAGTATCTACCTATCAACAATTAAATCTAAAAAACATAATAAATGAACAAGTAGAACAGAAATAGTACCACAGATACAGAGAACATGTAGACAAATGCCAGATGGGAACAGAGTTGGGGGTATGGGTGAAAAAGGTGAAGGGATTAAGAAGTACAAATTGGTTGTTACAAAATAGTCATGGGTATATAAAGTACAGCATATGGAACACAGTCAATAATATTCTAATACCTATGTATGGTGTCAAATTTCAGGATGAGCTGGTGTGGATCGGTGGACTGTGTGCCAGCCTATGAACCCAAGGGTCTCTATTTCAATTCTTCATCAGGACACGTGCCTAGGTTGCAGGCCAGGTCCCCAGTGGGGGCTGTGTTAGAGGCAACCACACATTGATGTTTCTCTCTTTCTCCCTCCCTTCCCCTCTCTAAAAAATAAATAAAATCTAAAAAAAAAGATTTATCATGGTGATCACTTAGCACCTATATTTGCATGTATAATGTGCTCTCAAGTTTTGGTACATATTATACATGGGATTCTTATACCCACATATAATGCACATCCTTATTTTTCCCTCAAAAAAAAAAAAAAAAAAAAAAAAAAGACTTTTGGCCAAGATGGAGTAGGTAGATACACTTTGTTGCCTTGCACAACCAAAAGGAGGACAATAGCAAATATAAAACCAAAAAATAACCAGAACTACCAGAGAATCAAACTGTATAGAACTCCGACAACCAGGGAGTTAGAGAGGAAACATTCATCCAGACCAGTAGGAGGGGCAGGGAGGGGCAGAGATGGGCAGCTGGCAGTCCCATTTGTGTGCGGATAAACTGGGAGGAACAGCTGGGAAGTGAGATAGACCATGCAATGCAGTGTTCCAGTACGGGAAAAGACTCAGAACCTCTGGAGATAAAAACCTGTGTGGGTTACGGCAGCAGGAGAAACTCCCAGCCTCACAGGAGAGTTCTTTGCAGAGATCCACAGGGTCCTAGAATGTACACAAGCCCACCCACCTGTAAATCAGCACCACAAGGTCCCAATTTCCTTGTGGGTAGCGAGGGGAAGTACCTAAAAGCAAGCTGCAAGCCAAACAAGCAGCACTGTTCCCTCTGGGATCCCTTCCCCATATACAGCATCA